GCGCGATATCGCGTTATACCGCATGTGACAGCGTTATCGTGACAGCGTGCGACGACGGTATCGCGATAGTTAATTATATAAAACACGCACTCTTTAAATTATTAAATATATATATGAAATATTTTTATTATTATTAATTGTAAAAATAGAAAATAATAAATAAATAAATAAATAAATTTCTTTATTATTGCTATATAAAAGAAAAATCTTTGAGATGGAAGCTGCATAAGAAGAAGATGATATGAGTAAGAGAGAGACGGTGAGTATATATGGTAAGTATACACGGTAAGTATAGTGCGGCGGCGGCGGCCCCCGCGCGCGATGGCGGCGACGGACCGCGCCCGGAGGGACCGCGCCCAACGGACCTCGCGGTGGGGGAGGACCGCGCGCGTTAGCTTACCGCGTTCGGAGGACCCCGCGCCCATTGACCCCACGGTGAGCACCACAATTCTTCCGGCGCGAATGCGTTAGCACCCTGTGATGTCATTTTCCTCCCCGTCATCCCCTACTGCGTCATCCTCCCCTTCCCGTGATGTCATACCCCTCGCCGTCATACCCCCTCCCCGTGACGTCATACCCTCGCCCTGCTGTGACGTCATACCCTTCACTTAGTGTTTTATGTTGGTAAACCTGGTTCAAAATTAAGTGCTTACGGAAAAAAAGCTCAAAAGTGCTTACGGGAAAAAGCTCAAACTAAAAAAAAAGCTCAAACTCAAATTTGACTTCTCAAAAAAATCTCAAACTCAAATTTGGCCTAAAACCCGCCTACATACTCTACTTTAATGAAATAGGTATCTCTAACTTTCGTATTACTCTTATTTTTAACTATGAAGCGTTTATTAATTCGAAGCTTATTCGTGATACATGTACATTACCTTTCTCAAAATTTTATATAGATGCGATAAATTAACGTACTAGTCAGTAAGCAACACAAGCTGACAGCAACACATGTGTCATCTGTCATGTACGCGTATTCTATTAGAATAGAATTATGGTACATGTTCGTGGAATGCACATGTGCTATCCTTATCCCAGCCAATCAGAATCACCCATAGTCACGTGACGGGTTGGCGAGTCTCTCTTTTTAAGGTCTCTAGTTGAAGGAACTGTTGTCATCGCGACCGATTCTTGCCATTTATTCGCCTAAATTGTCAACTGAATTACATTGTGACGCTAGTGCAAGCGGATTTGGTGCGATGTTATTACAAAAACAAAATGACGGAGCTTTGCGACCCGTTTCATATTTTAGTCGTAGAACTACAACAACGGAAGCGCGATATCATAGTTTCGAATTAGAATGTTTGGCGGCTGTGTATGCTATCAAGAGATTTCATATTTATTTGTCCGGGATTCCGTTTACTATTGTAACGGATTGTAATAGTTACCGTCTCACTCTAAGTAAACAGAGTGTCATCCACGTATCTCTCGATGGGCGATGTTCTTACAAAGTTATGACTACAAGATCGGGCATCGACCGGGAGCGCGCATGTCCCATGTTGACGCATTGAGCCGTTGCAATAGCATATTAGTTTTGGAGGCGAACACATTTGAACAAACATTATCGATTCGACAAAATAAAGACAAAGAAATTTGAAAAATTCGCGATAGATTAGAAAGAGTTGAGGATAACTTTTACGAATTGAGAGATGGCTTAGTCTATCGTAAATTTAAAAATAATAAATTACTGTTTTACGTTCCTAAGTGTATGGAGTTTAATGTTATTCGTGCTTGTCATGACGACCTAGGTCATGTTGGAATCGAGAAGGTTGTTGATAACACGGTTCAGACACTTTTGCGCAGACCTAGCAGAAGTTGTAGGTCTAGTAAAACTAAGAAAAATGGTATGGTCGAAAGTTCCAATACAACCCGAAAATCTCATTTTACGGCCAAAAAATCGTTTTTCGGCAAGTTCATATGAAAATCCATTCATAACTGCGCTAATTTTTATCCGATTTAAAACTTTTTTTTTTAATTTTGAAGCTGAAAACCTGATCTTTTCAACTGTATATGCCTCATTTTACCAAAAAGAAAACCGACGAGACTACAATTAAAAGTATTTGCGATTTTTTTTTATATTTTTTCATTTTTTTCAACTTTACAATCATTTTACGATATTATTAGATCTTGGAGATTTTTTGTAACTCAATATGTTGAAAGTATATTTAATTCCGCGTCGAATGAGCTTTTGTTGAAGGAAAACGGATGAAAATTGACGGAGTTATGCGAGTTTTAAAATTTTATGAATTTTTCGCTAAATTTTGATATACATATAAAGTTTTCACTCGTTCGCTGCATGTGACCTCGGATCGTACTTCAGTTCGAAATATCAACATTTCGGCATTGTATTTCTAAACAAATTATTAGTACGGTGTCTACACTCTCTACCTCCATAACAAAAAGTAGGTTGTTTCTTGATACGCGGCATTTTTTTAAGTTTCAATACTTAGTTTAAATTGCAACAAAAATGTGTGATAATCGCAATAAATTTTGCTTCATATGTGGTTTATTTGTGGATCAGGCGCATCGCTTAAAGCTAGAAAATAATAAAGCTGTGGTTGATGGCTATAACAAATTTTTTAATCTTGAATATAGCACTTCGAAAAATCGCTGGTATGAACCAAAATTCGCGTGTGTCGAGTGTTCATTGAAATTTAAGAAATGGAATTCGAAAAGTTGCCATAAGGTTCAAATTTCCTTATCTTCTCCGGTGATATGGCATCATCAGCCATTCATAAACCTGACGACTGCTATTTCTGTAAAACAAACGTACGTGGACATCATTACAAAACACGAAGGAACGTAAAATATGCTAATGTTTTGTCTGTAACGAAACCTGAAATCCTGAATGATATCACTGACTCCACCGCAGTTCATGAATTGAAGATTCAAGTGGTTGATCATGGTCAAGATGATAATCATGAAACGGATGAAACTGATCATGAAGAATATGTTCATCAACGTGTGCATCAACTTCTGGAGAACGACATTTAGTAACAAACGCAGACTTTCGGGATCTTACAAGTGATTTAGGGCTACCAAGAAGAAAATCTGAGTTGCTTGGTTCTCGATTGAAAAATTGGAATTTGGTAGAAAACGACTTCAAGATCACGCTGACTCGGAATGATCATCGAATGTTTTTCAGAAAAATTTTCAAAGCTGATGTAGAGAATTCCAAGCTTGTTTATTGTTCAGACGTATCTGAATTATTCAACCTCTTCGACTATGATCACGTATCAAGTGAATGGCGACTTTTTATTGATGGATCGTGCATAAGTAAGTTAATAGTGCGAATTGTATTCAAATTATTCCTTACTTGAATATTGAAATTAAAATTTGTATAATAATATCATCATCATCATCATCATCATCATCATCATCATCATTATTATTATT